AGAAAGCCAGCAGCAAGGTGAATAGTGACAAGTATCAACCAGACGCACTGTCCCACACCAAGCGACAAGAGTGGTCCACTGCATTTGCTACAGCAGCGACAAAAGGGTAAAAGTTGCTCAGCGTACGAAAGAAAATGTGAGACATCCCTGAAAGAAATTCCATTTCAGTATCACGTATCACGATCTTGATCCAGTGCACTTCTCGACATTCCGTGTGCATATCTTCTACAATATCGTGCACCTCTTACAATTCAAAATATGTTCCGAATTTTTCATTCAGCGCTGCGAAGATACATTCAAGACATTACTGAATGTTTTGTCAGAAATCACAATAAATCAAATAACAACAAAGCAAATAGAGTGCCCAACCTTATACCCAATGGGTAAGAGAAAGTTCTACTCCCGCGGGGACAAAGCGGTCGGAGCGTGACAACGGGGAGAGAGAGGGCAGCAAACAGTTTAGCCAACTGCAGGGCATGGCACTTTTTTGCCGTTTAATTACATCACAATTAATACAGCTGGAATACGATACAATGTAGATGGCTGTCTTCTGGGTTGTAGCGCCCTGATGGTGAAGGCAGCAAGCACCTCTGAAACGCCGGTAAACTTCTAGCAGACTACACGGTGCAACAGTCCAGAAGACAGCCATCTTCGGACCCACCGTCGTTAGAACCTCAAATCTCGCAACCCACAAACAGGCCTATATTCTAAGACAAAACGCAAAGTTAAAGAGTGCTGACGCCTGTAGTAACCACTGTGCTTCAAAGGGTTAATGCGCTTCACAAATTTGGAAACAGAAAGAATTCACTCGGAAAAGCACGGTTAATGTCGGACTGGTGTGAGAGTTTTGCTCACTGAAAGTGCTGAATCAGACGATTTGTCATGATTAACGGAACGAATTTTGCCGAGTCTCTCTTCTCCCACACAATGAATTCAAAGCATCTGCCTTGTTCTGTACGAGACGCCAATTTCGCCCTCCTCTCTCATTTAATGAATCGTTTTTCTGTCACCACGAACCATATCAAGAACGAAAGTTAATCATTTTTCAGTTGGATTTCGACCATCTTTAAAGGGAGAAAAACACTAAAACATTTTACAACAGCCGACAGCATCATTTACAAATGCATATTTTAGTATTTCTAGAAGTCCCTGTCTTCCTGACTTTTACATAGAATTTTACGAACACACATTTCCCCTTCACGTGACACCGCGACCCGACCAACGTAGCCGACTTATCTCAACGAAACGGCGATGCTCTCACGACTGAGAGAAAACGAGTATTTGGCACCAGGAGGGTGATATAAGCAAGAACTTCCACTATCCAGGGTTTCAGTTTCATACAATATAATCAGCTCTGGACCGTTTGGGCTGGATATAGAGGCCTATCGCTTACTTAGAATACATGACGTAAATGAAATTCTCGTTATTGTAAATACGTGCATATATGTACGTTTGCGAAACATAACTGTTGAGGGATACGTATCCTACTTAATTATTAATAATAGTTTTATATGTCTTTGTATAATGTAGTTCCGTCAGAATCAAAAACTGATCACTATTAAACAACTTTTCTAACAAAGCTCTCCGAACCACCATTTCTTAGCCCTTTCCCGTCATCAAAAGTTATTTTCCTCCCCACATCTGACAAAATAAACGAAGCCAGAAAAAGAATTACAGCCTACTTCGTGAGGACGACCAATCCATCTAAAACGCAACGTCAAACCACAAGGGCAATGAAACTGAAAAAGTACAGCTTAGTCAGGCAATGAGACACGAGAAATGGACAAGAGAGACAGTCTAAAACACATGAACTTCTCAATGTACAGCTGAAGATATAAAGAAACAAGAATCAAAACCAGCTTAAAACAACGTCCACCCTTCCTTCTGCTGTCGTAGTCCTCTGGGGCAGGAGCTACGCCAACAAGCTCGGTGACAGCGACGGAGCAACAGATTGGGTTAACTCAATGAAAGTAACGTACATGGATAGAGCTAGAATACTTAGAAGCAACTGGTTTGTTTCCCTTCTTACGTAAAACTATTATGGCTACTCGTGAAGCTTTAATTCCCTACGAAAGTGAATGCTAGATTAGTACTGCGCGTAAAAAAGTCAATATTCACGTGAATCAGCCAACTAAAAACTAATTACACCATAAACATGTAAATGAAAGTAATCGCATGCGTTTCCAAATCGACGAAACACAGACATCCTGGAATGTTAATTGACTGGTCTCTTCTAGTAACTATAACGCCAGTTTGTGTTCCAGTCACCAAATTTTCCGTATTTATGGAACTCAAGGATTTACTACCGGGTTCACAAACGCCCACCACTGGTCCATACTGAAATAAATAAATCCAATATACATCCCCACACAATATTTAAGATCCATTTTAATATTGTCTTCCCATCTACGCTTGTGTGTCCCTTTAAGATTTTCCACTGAAATTTTGTACTCACTTCTAATCTCCCAAATGCGTGCTGCAAGCCACACCAATATCATCCATTATTCGATCGCCCTAATAATATTTGGTTAAACAAATTATGAAGGGCTTCCTCGGATGTTGACCTTGTAGTCTTGTAAACCTATATGCCCGTTCTTCTTCCATAATCAGGGTAATTACCTCTGAAATGTCGGTTAATTTCATCGAGACTACGCTAAGATCCCAGAAGACAACCATCTTAGAAAGTTATTTACTTATTCAGATAATCAATATATCGTTCGTAAAAACAGTAGTGTAGTGAGCTGACTGTTTGATTTCATAGGCACTGTGCTCTAATCACGTTGGAGTACACAGCTTTCTTACAATCACATTCAAAGGTCACGTCTCCACAGAACAACTGTCACTGGGACTACTTCTGAACTTAGTCGCCCGCCCGTCAAAAGGCTAACAATCAATCTCTCCAAATTTAACGATCGTCTCTGCAGACATCTTAGAACATGCATTAGCGAGCTTCTAAGCTGCTGAAGATATTACATACTCGTCATTCCCAATACACGTCAAACAACTTCGCAAAATCCTCTACAAAACGCAAAAGCCTCACAGCTGCAACGATTTAGCTTATAAAAATATTAAGAAACTCTGACGCTGACTTAAGCAGGAAACGAGTCATGAATTATGAAATAAGCTTGCGTTTTTCATGCCCAAATAAAACTACAATTTCGCAGAATATAAACAGGTTTTCATTCCAGCTTTGTAAAAGTAAAATATTGTATATTTCTCAGGAAGAAATTCATGAATTAATAAGAGATATGGAACTTCGAATGTCAGGAGTTACAGCTCATGTTAACTGAAAACGGAAGCAAGAGAATTACTAAGAAAGATTCAGTGTGCGTACAGGACAAGGTCAGATGAGACGACAGCAGAATCTAACCAAAAGATTATTTTTTCTATGGAAATACGAAGAAGGCCGAACACAATGGACGCGAAGACGAAGTCGAGGGTCATGAACGCTCTAAAACTGCAATCGTGGGTTATGATCCCACTCGGGGCGTTTTCCTGTGTTTTTATTTCCTGTATGTGGAGGCCTTGCATCAAGCTGATAATCGTTACAGGAGTACGTAAGGATCTGAACATGAGATAATATCAGGAAGAAAAAATGTAAAAATAATAATAACTTGAGGACAAGCTTTTTTCATAACGTATTCATATCAAGGGCTTATTAGCAATACGATGTCGTAGGTACGCCGTTGGTGTGATACTGTAACGAATGTGCATGTCCCTACGAAGATAAGGAGATAATACAAAGAACAGCTTTCATTATGAAGTAGAGCGTGTATTCGATCAGTTCCCCTCGTACAACAAGATTTAAAACATACATTCCAGTCGGGAAGTGGAAACACAGTTTGTAAACGAATAATATTATAATGAGAATAGAGTAGTAACTTTAAATGTTGTCACGTTAAGAAGCTTAATATTCACATAGCAAAATTCATAAATTCACTTGAAATTATTCCTATGGAAATATACAATGAGACTCTTCACATCTAGAGAGATATCAGACGACTATTAAGTGAACTCGATACTGTATCCTTTCGAATACCTGACTGAAATCGACCGCTACTTGGTGGTTGCAAAAACACTATCGGTGAGTAAAATCAGCGTACACAAACATTTTTGTAAAGAATTTCTTATTCAGAATGGTCTGAAATAAGGAGATGTTTAGTCACCATTGCTTTTCAACATTACTTTATGATACGCAATGAAGATGGTCCAAGAAAATACAGAAATGGCTGGACTCGAATGTACCATACCAGCTTCTAGCTTGTGCCGATGACAACTTGCTGGACGAAACGAGAAATATGGTAAAGAAAAGCACAGAAGCTCTACCAAGTGCCAGTAAAGAAGTTCGTTCAGAAGCAAAAACGAAAAACGAAGTGAGTGGTCATGTCTTGTCACCAGTCATAATGTAAAAGGGCGAGTTCTGGACAGTCACTCAGATTGGTCCTAAATCAGGGGCAGCATTGCCCACATTAAGTTACTATTTCGTGTGTAATCTTAAAACAAACTCAGAAAGCTGCAAAACTGCAGCAGAATAGCAGCATAATGTAACCAAACCAATGTCGTGATGTTAAATAATTAATTGTAAGAAACATGGGTGGGTAGGAGGCAGAATACAGCCCTTACTTCGCTGGTGTCACAGTAAATGGGTAAAGTTCTCAAAGTTCTAGAAACGAAAAGCACTTCTCGCAAATCGATTCTGAAGGGTTCTGACGATGGCATAAATACAATCTGATGTTATATAACATCAAACGATAGAATAGGTCCAAAAACTCAACAATACAAATTTTCGGAAAGCCTCACAAATCAAGTTAACCGAATATAACACGCGACTATAGCATAGAGTCTAATAATAAAACTTATAATTTAAGTGTTATGGCCCTTCACGTTCATAAACCAGATAACATAACCATCAGTTAAAGTCTGTTCGCAAGAGCAATTCCAGAACGCCACAAGTAACAGCATACACAGCCACAATACTAGGAACAGCGGTACCACTCTACCTTTCATCTTCATCAACAGGCAACAACAATGTCATTTTATCTTCCAACAACAAAACGGCGAGTTCTTCTTCCACTTCATTATCACCGTCCTCGTGGTCCACGTCGAACTCCCCACCTCCCTTCACAAGTGGCTGATACTGGTAAGGTCTCTTACAGCCCACAAGGAACCACCTTTCAGCATCGTCCTCCAGGCTACAGACGCCGTCTTCGTCCTCACAATCCGCAGCCCTGTTATCAAGAACGAAGTTGACGACGCCAGCACCAGGAGTTGAGGGACTTGTTATAGCACAGTCACAACGGACGCAGCGTTGAGGATCCGGACAACTCCACGTGTCGGAATCCCAGATAGGGTTCTGTTGGCGTCGCGACGACAGAACAGCGTCCGTCAGCGCCGCCATCCCAGCCGACACTGAGAGAATGAAACTTGGCTCACCCGCTCGCTAGGCACTAGCCAGCCGACCAGCTCGTCTGCCTGCCTGTATAAACTCCTTGTTGTGTTCAAATTGATGAAGCAACTTGGCGCGGAGCGAGCTTTCTTTTTAATAAGCTACGAACGATGAGGGTAAGCGCCATATAAGACTGCCTAATAAAGCGAAATCGTCGGGGAAAAATGGGAAAAAATACTGTGAACGGAAGACGGCGCAAAAGAACAGTCACATATACGTGTGTACGGATCAAGGGTTAAATACCAAAATAACAACAAACGAAGAATAATGAAAAGTAAAACAAGGTACCCTACGTCTTTCAACAAAATGTCCTATAAAGCGTCCCATTTTAAAACATTTCGTAAAAGGAAACAGTTATTCAGTAAGTAAGGACATCTGTTTACACGTTCCGATGAAGGCCAACTTGATAGCTTACCACAATCAAAAGGAGATGGTTATGCTGGAAACTAGATTAAGATGCCAAAAGAGCACAGTCATTTTAAGAAACTAAACGTCGCTCCTTGATTTGATAACTTTAATAATATTTAGTAAAGAGTAAAAAAAAGAGGTTCTTGATTATACAACTTTCTGCAGCCTTTTTTCCTTCTTCACTATTACGTCCAAGCAGTCTCCTCACTCATACTCGAAAGGAAGTAGACCAAACAAATGTTTAGCCGATAACAGATTTCCTATAGGTTTCATTTAAAAACAGTTGAAGTTTCCCAAACGGTGTGCATATGTATGTAAATATGAACTCCATTTCCTCGTATTGAATGTTTAAAAATCGGTGTGTGTATATTGGAGTAACTTTCTCATTTATAAACAAAAGAAGATTAACTGATATTTATCCGACTGTACTACGGAAACTCTGCAAGTATTTGAAGCGTTTTATGTACCTTGTACACATGGGACGCTATTGATTCAACCGGCAATGCGTTATCCGCAGTGTTTTGGAAGGCAGACGACAGCAGTCTGTAAATCCTAAGTAACATGTCCTCAATTGCATCGTGAATCCTATAAGCTATTTTCCTTCTTTATATAAGAAAAGAAAGGTTTCTTGGAAAATATGTCCGTCCACGAACACTAATGAACCACTGAAGACAAACGTGACACATTTTGCATAGAGTTAATCTATTCATCAACATGTATACACAATTGGTATAAAACATAGGGATACGTTATACAAGTATTTTTTAGATATATTATGACCTTAAGACAGACTAATTTTACTTACACGTGGACCACTTTCTTCTAAGACCCAAAAAAGAGTACCCATGATATTGATAATATTTATACTTTCACCCACAGAAATAAACATAAACATGAAGTGAAAATAAAAACACAGTATCTAGGTATTCTTCCTTTTTAAATGCTCTCATAAAGACGAACCACGCCACTAAATAACACCATTATTAAAGCAGCAGATATTTCTAAACTCAACAGAATTCATGAGCACATTGCACTCGAAGACACTCAACCGCTCTGAGCTATCAACCACAAATTACCAGCAGAAATTTTATTTCATGAAAATGGGCTTTATACGAATACAATTCATATAGCTATGGGGTAATATCGTTTTTCGTAACAATTTCGTGTATTACATTATAGCTCTAAATCGTCGGCACTCACACACAGACACGATGAATACCTGGAAAAGCAATGAAATATGAGAAAAAAATGGAAATGAGAGACCTGAAGAGTGTATGTTCGGACTGAATGTAATGCTCAAACCATGCCAGTGATTAAATGTAAGTACCACGGCTCGATATTTAGCCCACAGCACACAAAAGAAACATGATGATGCCGCAAAGTTGTAACTAACTGCTGCACAGCCATCAGACTTGCGGATCAGACGTGTGCCAGAAGCAGGAAAAGTCTGTAGTGCAATACAAAAATAACGCAACACACAAGCAGCTGAGTTGAAGAAAATGTGCAAACATCCGAAAAACATAACACAACTGCGTTACTTCCAGTTGCAGGTAAGCATATTTGAATGTTAGAAACTCTAAAAATTAAGTGGTCTCATTTGGTTGTGTAGTGTGAGCGTTCTTCATCAACTGCAAGCACTGATCAACACAGGAAAGAGACAGAAAACAAGTGAAATAATAACAACAATAACAATTGTCCGGAATATCCCAGCCAATGAAAATAGAATACGGACTGGACAAACAGGGTTTGATTTCATGCAGGTACGGTGATTGTCCTCTTCACCATCACGTCCAGGACGACTCTGGAGCCCATTCAACCTATATCGGAATTCCCCACATGTCTATTCTTAAATCACAGTAACAAGTGTTTTATTAATAATAATAAAATAAATATTACTACAATAGTTACTGATCAATAACAATTAATTTTAAATAACTATATTTATTACATAAAAACTATACTGCCAACAAAAACATATGTATACCAATGTTGTGGTTATTCTGTTTGTTTGAAAATTGCTTTTACGTCGTAGCAACCTTTCAAGCTCAAGAATTAGGGCATGAAAAGAATCCCTATCATCGGGGGGAACACTTTCCATCAGCATGTGTTTACACTGTTTCTACCCTCTTCACAGTTTACAGAGCAAACTACCGGAGCGGAGGATAACAACAGGGAATATCAGAGAAGAAAATATGCAGCTCAAAGGAGAATGCAGATAAGGGTCTCTGGAACAAAGGAGGCTTCATCAGCTGAATTAATCACCTCCTAACAAGGAATCCAATTTTGTATCTGCCAGTAAGAAGACAGCGCCGTTAAAAAAAGCAAAAGGCATCCATAAAATATGTAATTAGGTAAAAGCAGCCGTTTGTCTTCACGAGCGACATAACTGCTACAGAAGATTTTTACTTTTGAATCGAAATATTAACTTGTGTACACACCGAAATATATGTGCAAGTGGTACAACGTTTTCCCATTTCCTAATAAATAATTAATTTCTATGGAACAAATTCAATCATAAATATTATTTTTAATCAGATGACCGAAGAATTCATAAGCTCTTTTAAAACCCTGAAATTGCATGTTTTCACGCCAGTATGAAGATGACTGCCTTCTTCCTTAAATTACGTTTTCCTCCCTTTGGCTTTATTGATAGTTCAAAGGAAATACTAAAAAAAGAAGCATACGAAGTTCATACTTCTGACGAGTTTCGTGACACAAAACTGCTAAAGCGAATTAAATATATCTACACTCTTCAAGTCAGTAAGTAACCTTTACTGGATCATGGACACAGCGAATGAATCTACGTTACTCAGTTTTTATCAGCTGTAAAAGCAAATTATTAATATAAATGTCAAGTGCATGCATGTTTTCCGTTTGTCTTCTATGGATGTGATGACGTGATTTATTAGTTCGAGGGAAGAACATAAGCCCGTCTTAAAAACGTTTAAAAAAAGAGCTCAGGATAACGTTCAGGTCTAAAAAAATGAAGTTACACAATGAAAAACGTCGTGATTTATACAGGTCGCACACTGTTTTCACGAAAAACAAACAGGCTGCGATGTCGCGGGTATGCGGCTAACACGGGGGAGAGGCAAAGAATGGATACAGAACTTCTGTGAAATCCTGTTGGAAAATGTCCACTGCCTTCAGGAATTTTAAAATGCGAGGTCGGTATAACCTCCAGCAGCATTGTGTGCGTACCGACGTTCATTACGCTACTCTACTTACTGAAAAGCTCTCCCACTCGGGCCGCACACACAGGAAAGTGTAGGTACTGAAACCAAACAGCGTTATTTACATTCGCTTATTTCCAGACTGTATAGAATATCCAAATAATACTGCTGTTTCATGCCCTGGACGACCACTGGACACGAATGCAAAACGACACCTGACTCTGCCAATAGCGAACGTTCGAACTATACGCGCCAGTAAACAAAGCCATGCGAGCAGCAGCCGCGGGCCTGCACACGATCGTTACAAATTCCCAGCATATTTAGGATCGGAGCTAACAATGTTGTAATGGCTTATTTATTGTTATTCTTGTAAACCATTACGGTAGTTCGATGCGTTTCCGCCACCTGACAGTGCAGAAAACTGCTCTCCGCTATCCTCCGCTAGCCTGTATGTACAGATACTAAATCTTACAATAAAAACGCAACACGTCCAAAAACTGAGCACAAAGCAGTGTAACACTTCTCAGAAATGTAAAAACGTAAAATATTCGTAATACTACCCCTCTTGCAGCATTACTGTTCGTGTCTCTTCCCAATGAATACCGTGTTCCTCTAACGGAACCGTCCATGAGCTTCTATGCCAGACTATGTGCCAGCTCCGTTTCCCTTTGTGAGCCTAATCCAATACATCTTAATCTTAATGGCTCACACAATATTAGAGAAGCGTATAAATAGTGATATTTCACTATTCTTTATGCAGGGATGTACGTTGTATTTGTACGCCTTTAAGAAATACGTTTTAAGTATGTGGATAAAAACTTAGTAACGATCATATAAACATCTTGTATTATATAATGGGAATTCATACACAGTTCAATCACCAAGAAACTTAAAGTATTCTGCCCAGAATATATAATGCTGAATAAATTTTCTTAAAAAAAACGTATCCTCTTTCTTAATCTTTGGACCAATTCACTCTTCGTAAACAAAACGGAAACCAATGTGTCCAACAGCTGGCATAATTTCCCTCCCTGCTCAAGCTGGCTTATTTCTGTGCGCATCTATCACGTCTCACAGTTTCAAAGGACTTCAAAGGATCTATCTTTGTTTTTAAACAGGCTTGACACAATGGAATGAACATATCAACGGTATTTTTATATAAAATACGAGGTTATTTGGCAGAAAGAAAGTACATATAAATGTGAGAACCCAGATGTGAAACAAAACATCCCCCTCTATATCAATTTATTTTATGGTACGCTAAACCCTTCCTATAAAGTACGCAATGCTACAGTTCGAACTTTTTAATTAAACGTTCTCAGAATTTCGTACAGGCCTATCTAGGTTCAACTCAGACTAGAGGGCTCGAATTAAACCAACAGCACAAAAATAATTAAAACGACAGAAGTAAACAAACAACCTGAAAAAAACTAAAAATTATTTAATTTTAATTATTCT